AGGTCAAAAAAGAACTTGGTCCACCATCAAATTATTGGACCTGTTGGTTCACCAGACACCTAACACTAGTACAAGGGATTGTCTTATCGGCCTGGCCCACTTCCCTCACTGGAAAGAATAAGCATGGTCCAGGCCCTATTTTCAACAATGTACTGAAAACTCTGGTGATTATTAGACTGCAGACTTAGGACCCATATGTTTGTCCAACCACTGAATTGATAAGACAATTTTTTTGATGATTGGTGTGGATTGAGTACGTACCATATTCGGAGGGATGTCTGGTTCTCTGCCTAAGATTCCTGCTCAGGTCGTAGAGTGAATATTTGAAACCCTCCAACTGGTTTCCTAGTTGAATCAGAAGTTTGGAGAGAGCTTGGTTGTGTAAATTGGCAAGTGATGAAACTTCTTTTAAGCAGCTACCATTGTTTTCTGGCTTGATTATTCTCATGCCCGGAAGACAACCCAAGGTCGGCAAGTTGATGAACCCAAATTTCCTACCCCCTCCTGCATAAATTTCCTGCGAATTTCACACCCAATCATAATATATTAGAGTCGAACATATGCACTCTACATATGTTATGTTATCAGACTATCAATCAGCATCACTGATTAAATAGCATCATGTGCAAATGTGCCGTTTCGACCGACAACATAACATATCAGATTATTTGAAAATAGAACATTTCTTGATAAATAAACTACTAACTAATTCATACTCGGATAACGCTTGTCAAGTTGCCAATGACCATTCCAATATATTGTGATTGAGAGTAGGACTTCAATATGGGGGAATTGGTTAGGAAAGGGCTGATGTAATCGTTGGTTCCAATGCTAAACAAGTAGACGGCTCTTGAAAGTGTCACTTTGGCTTCAACATCGCCTAACTTGTGTCTGAACCACTTCTCTACCTTCTTATAATACTTTAGTTGTGTTTTAAGATCAATGACCTGAAATAGGAGAATATGAAAGTTCCATAACTATTTTGCTACACTTTCTGAGTCTAAAGTAGATATACGATACTTAAAATTTTTCATTTTCTCTACTCTCATACACAAAAGGGCTCATTTTAAACATTTTGTACTTTGAGAATTTCTTAGATGCAACGATTGTAATATGACCTCACGTAAATATTGTTACGGGGGCCTTTACATTATTTAAATTCAAAAATTTTTTGAGATCACGTCGATGTAAATGATACGAGTATGGAGCCCATTAACAATGATTAAGCATCATTTCATTATTAGTTTCTTGTATCATATCAGTATGATGAGGTGATACAACCGTTGCATGTACCTACGACTTTCTCGATTTTCTTACTTCTTAACAAGTTAATACAAAAGTTAACAATTAAGACAAAAGAAAGGGAAAACATCATGAAATGACAACTTCATACCAAATAGCATGGCAATATCATTCTCTGTCAAATGTAAAACTTACATACCGACCCTTGAAACGTCTCAACCAGAACACCAGCCCCAGAAGATGCAAAATTCACCCCATCATAGTATTGGTGAAAGCCCGGTTGAAGAAAGGGAGGAACAAATGGCAGGTGAGCATACTCAGCTGCAAATTATATAAAATAATATACAAAATATTAGATAATTAAGATCATGATTAATTAACTATAAGCAGACAAAACAAAATTTTATGTTAGATTAGCTAACCAAAAGTGGACTTGTACAACCAAGGACCACATTATAAAAGATTTGCAAATCTCACCAATAAAGTCTGATATCAAACGTCCGTCGGAGAATCTTCCAGTTGGAAACTTAAAGTAGGTTTCTCCATAAGGCCAGAAGTTGGCCTGGTCAAGAGTTGTGGTGTTGATGTAGTTGTTGTTGCCAGAGTCTAAGTAAGAGTCTCCAAATATGAAGAAGGCAGCTTGCTGCTTTGAGTGCCAAGATTTGCTTCCGCCGCAAGTCGAGATTGCTAAAGCTACATGAAGAAGGAAAAAGAGAGAGACAGAGCTTGGCTTTGCCATGGCTGCAGACTTGTTGATCACCGCATATATTTTACATCAATGTCAAGCAAATATATCTGAGCCACAAAATTTATACAGAAAACTTCGTTTTTTATTCTCTCTGAAATTTGGATGAGTAATCTTTCCTAAATGCAAAAGTTTGGGCTAGTCTACTCTACTCAATATGAGTTTTAAAGGGTTTTATTTGATCATCATATATGTGAAATTATACATCTGGCTGATGAATAAGAAAAGACTTCTTATCCAACTACATGAATTGCAAAAGTCAAAGTAATTTGAGAATTTGAAAATACCCATTTTGTCAAAAAAAAATTTATTAAAAGAAAATTATCGCTCAAACTAATACTTGGCGTTGAACTTTGAACCAGATATTGTTTCCTTTTTTCTAATAGCCAAAGAAAATATTATTGCAGAGGCACTGCAAAGTTCTCAGCTAGCAGCCAACACAGGGTGGTTCAGTTGGTAAGGTCCCTGTATTGTGACACTCCATCGGAATTCGAGTCCCGCTGTCAGCAGTAGTATGTTTGGTGGGTAATCTGTACAATTCTTATGTAAATCCATACAGGTGGCTGCGGGGCATATGGGCCCTTGCGTAAGTCCTTCCTGATAAAGGTCTGGGGTTTGCCCTGGCCGGAGTGTAGGGGTAGCCTCTCCTTCCCCTAAACAAAAAAGTTTTCAGCTAGCAACTTGCAAATAAAAACACGACATCAAGAAAAAAAAATGTTTCTTGGCGGATTGCTGGATGTGAACGTGTTGAGCTGTACTGATGTCCCCTACAAATTCGAGAAGTCAACTGCTCTTCAAGGCAATAGTAGAAACAATCAAACTTTGATTCTAAGGATTGCAAACATGACTCACGCATTGTTAGATTACAAGAAGGCCCAAAATTCGATGTAAATCAAGCTTAAAAACTCATTCACGTGTAAAAATGGAAAGGCATACATATACAGAGGGAGAGAGACAAACAAATACATGCAGCCAAACCAATCAAAAATACTCTGATGCATGTTAGACAACGACTATACCCAAAAAGTTATTCAAAAAAAATAACAATGTTATATCAAATTTACACCCGTGAACGCATACACATGATTTTTATGGTGTCAGAAAAGATAGCACTATAATTTCTACAATTTTTGGGCAAATGGGAAGTGTTAAACGTGACCCCTATTACCTTTTTGAGATGTGTAATGAGCGTCTTGCATGTCATCATTAATGTTTGAATATATGAACACCAGGTCCATGGAGTACTTAAAAGCCTAATTTTTCTTCCTTACACATCATGTGAAGTGGGGAAAGAAATCAAAAGTGCGCAGTACATACATCATTTGACTAATCTAATTATTATTATAAATTTCCCCTTTGCAATAAACAACTGTGTCATTGAGAACGGAAGTGGCTCAAATCAGGTTGTTTGTAAGACCAAGTCTTCGATTTTCTTTATTTTATTGATATATATATATATATATGGAAATCGGGTTTTTTTTTTTAAAAAAAAAAATTCAAACGATAGTCTAAACTACTACAAAGAGGAGGGGCTTTCTCACACACATAATATCAAGGTACCATGAGGATATGGGAGGCCTAGGGTACATGCGGGCTAGGGCCTCCAAATTGAAGGCACCCCCAATTTGTATAAACGTCTATATATACATACGCATGTTAATTTAAAAAAGTTAGGCCCATGTGATTTTTTTTGCATTTTATAAAATTTTTATGTGAATTACATATTGTTATTTTCTATTTATGCATTACATAAAGTTTTTTTAACTTACTCCAAAAATAAATCACATAAATATACATAGAGGGTAGAAGACAACATTTTGGTAGTTCGCCTAAGCCGACAAAAACATTAGGACCACCTATATATGTATTTTAATGAATCAGGCACATGTACATTTGACTTTGATTTAAAATAATCGTTACAAGTATCCAAAAAAGAAAATAAAGAATCGTAACAAATAAAGAATACATATTCTACATATATATAGAATTCCCACATGGCCCAAACCTAAAATAGTCGCTTAAAAAGTCTGTTTAATTTAAAATTGTACACTTCGATCTCGATTCCCCATCTGTTCTAAAGAGCTAAGCTAGCTAGCTATCAACTATCATTTTGTTGTTTATGTAAAGATGTACCCTATCATAGCATCTAATTACAAATGTGGATTAACATGGATGGAGGAGTGCCTAATTATCCTTGCGTGTTGGCAACGTGTTGGCAAAGGCAAATAGCTAGCCTGAGGATTGAGACCTAATTATCTTTGGGTATTAGTGATTGATGTGAAAGATGCATGATTAATAGTTGAATACTTGTGTGGCCCAAATAAAAAGTTTAATACGTTGAAGCGGGAAAATGTTCTCCTGTGAGACTGTTTGGCAACATAAAATGTTTATATTGTCAGACTACGAATCTGAACCATTTATGAAATGAGTTTTTGCCAAGTAATTTATGCTACTAGTGGGGAAAGAAAGATAAAAGAGTATTCATATGGCAACATAAATTTGGGAAATAAGCATTACGTATGAAGTATTCAAACTCACAAAAATTAAGTGGGCATAAATGTTCCCAAAGAGACAAGCAACAAAGGTAAATTTGGTAAGTGAGTTTTGCTCACTCAATAAAAAGCCAACCACAAAAAAACGAGTGTTACCTAATTGGTAAACAAACCCATCAAACAACATTAATCTGGGACTTGATTGGTCTGAAGAATAGTTGATTAGGTGTTCTCTAGATTTGAGATGAACCAAATCATCCAAAGTACATAGAATGGGGTCATATATGATGCCTTCCCATGAACATGTGAATTTGCTTACCAAACCCACATAAGCAAAAGACATCAAATAACATATACACTAAACCAACGAACGTCAGGACATCTGTTACAGCTTATTACTTGGTTCTTGATTTCTTGCTCATTGAAATATCCCAGAAATTTGTTCAAGGAAAGAGATTGAATCCATTAAGTTTTGGGTTCAATTTCATTTTTGCTGACAATTGAAGTATATTTTCCACCTCTCATATGTAAAAAGCCAATGCGCAATTGATGAAGATGGTGTCGGGGTTGGTAGGAAAAGATGCCTGAAAAGAAGCTAGTTGTTAGAGAAGTATCATAATGGTGCACGCAAAAATCATATACCATTGCCATAATTAAGGGAAAGAAACCATGTGATTAAGGGTGGTGAAACATACAGTGTGATGTTTAACTCCAGCGGTGTAAACTTCATTTTTCATTGTAAGCTCTTTATAATCAACACTTATGTTACACTCCAGTGCAACCTACCAAAAAAACAGGGTGAAAAGAAGAAAAAAAGGTTGAGACCTCCTTTGACCCCCCAAAAAAAAATGGTTGAGACCTCCACTCGAAGTCAGAGTTCGAATCCCCTCTCTCAGAGCTCTCAAGCATTGCGCTGGACGCACACACAAAAAATTATCCCAACCACGCTCAGAATAAGGGAATCAAATCAAGAAAAGAGTGTTCTCTTTCTTGATGAGACTTTCAATCCAATTCTGGTGAATGGGATTTATTCCACAACAAATATGGTTCATTTTGAGTTAGATAACTTGAAAGGCTTGAAATACCGGACACACGCTTAAACGCTTTAATTTTGACCAAATGATGAGATGCTACAAACCTTAATCTTCAACAAAATTATATGAAACACCCAGAGGTGAGCTCCAACATCGCCTACAATTTTCATTTGAAACATGTTTTTCCTTGAATCGTCTTGCAATGAAGCCTCTGCCACAATCTGGCTGACATTCAAACATGGAAACAGAGCCCTTATTTCGACACTCACGTTGCTGCTGTGAGCAGGCTGAAGAAACCCGGGAATCCGAATTGTTCCTATAGGCAGTCCATCATCCAAAACTTTAAGATGCGAAGGGCTATACCAGATGCCAACCTTGTTAGGATTTTGAGCATTCAGGGTCAATGTGATTGCTGATGAAAGAAACAGGGTTGAATCCGAATAGGCTTCGAGCTTATACATATCCAAGCTCACAGTTTCGAGGGAAAAAACTGGCCTTTGGGGCTTCATGATGAAAATTACAATCAATGCAGCTACACCAAGAAAAACTATTGCTAAGGTAACAAACAAGAGGAGAAAGAAACTGCATCTTTTGAAAGAATATGCATGGCAGAGTTTTTGGCAACACAAGTAACTTGAGTTGTGCATTGAAACATCCATGGCGGATCATCATCATGTGGGTTTATGCTAATTGACTATACTATTATGTGATTTATTTGATTGTTATATGCTAATACTTGTACAGGAAGGAGGAATTTGATGTCTTTCTTTCGACTGTAGTTTGTGTTATTCCGTTCTAAAGTGATACCAGGACCCTCACAGAGGAAACTTGTAAAGCAAGGAAGCACTTTCTCAAACTTGCTTTTCAAGGGGAATTTTATGCTCTCCTAAGTCTCTTACAACCCCACTTGTGAATTAGGGAAGACACTTACCTATAACGGGTTGACGTAACCCCCAAGTCTACACCGGTCATCACCCAATTTAGTTACGTGATGAGTGAAATTATATCAACCCGGTGTATGTAAGTTTTCTCGAAACTGAAACATCAGTAGGAACATTCTCAGAACATATAATATTAGACTGATTTATTACGAGCCTGAAAGGTCATCCAAATGGGGGCATTTCTATGTTTATTTGGTTTTTTATATTGTGATTCTTCTAAAACACTTCATTTGGGTAGGTGAGGTGCTCCCATTTACCATCGAAAGCTTGAGAAGCCAAAAGAGGTTGGTGTGGTAGGTACAACTTCCCTTGTATTCTACCCATTAGTTAATGATCCATGAAACTTAACCATCTCTCATTACAGACTCACTAATTCAAACCCACATTTTTTAAAGGTCAAATCACAGCCGCCCAATCCCATCAACCTAGAGATCCACCAAATCAAAACCCACCAGGGTCCCTCCCCCACCCAATTGGTCATTTGCCCTAGTTGTAAGCTTTTTGCACGGAAACATGTGAGTAAAGAAAGAGTCATCCGAATCACTCTGAGAGCATGCATAGAGGGTGGTGCTTAAATGATGATGCTTCTCTTCTGCTATGCTTTTCTGCTACCCTCCGCCTCTGAGTCCCATACTGATTTGTCTATTTCTTGGCTGATGAAGCATATATATATATATATATGAAGGCAGAGAGGACACAAAAATCCATCACCCTAGTGCCACATGTCGGTCGTATCCTTCAAAATTTAACCATTCATGAGAGAGATAACATGTGGCAGACATGCAAAAACACTCTTCACATGGCTGAGTGAGGCATATGCCAAAACCATAAAACCTGGAGGCTACAGCCAATTCCATGCCACATGCATAAGCTAATGTCATAATATACTCCAGACATCTGAGAAAAGTTTCCCCACATACTCTTAACTTATGAACAGAAATGGCAGGGTCTTTTGGTAATTCCGTCTTCCCAAGGTCAGATGTCAAACACATCTTGTTGCCTTCACTACAAGTCTTCAACCACCCGAGGTCGATATGAAGAACTTTAAGCTAAGAAACTAGTTGAGTTTTTCTCCACAAAGAAAAGATCCTAACAGCAACAATGTAAAACATATGCAAAATTTGATGGCCTCTTGTAAAAAGTAGGACCTAAATAAATTTAACGGAAGTTCACAATTATCAGGTTTCAGTATCATCCATCATAAGCTCACTCACACAATGTCATGAATACAAACATCAAGTTCAGCAACCCAAATTCTAAGTCTTTGGAGGCGAAAGTAAACCTAATACCTATATGCTCTCCATTGACCATTGCTACGGCTTAAAATACTCCCCATACAAGCCTTATGCATGTTCAACAGCTTGCACTCCAAACCCAGAGAAAACCATCCTGCAACCACAAGTAAAAAAGCAAAAAGGATCTCTTTCTGAATAAAATGAGAGTGAACATGAAACAGAAAATTAAACAATGTAGAAGCTGATGCAGAATCGAACTCACTAACATGTAGCTTTATTTACATAAAATAGAATGGATGGGGAAAAGTTCGCTCAGAAACCTCCCCCAACCAGGTCATCGAAGCTCCAAAGGTCCACTGAGTTGCCACCATCCTGAGTTGCATCTGCACTGAGGAAGACGTCCACTGAAGCATCCCAGCTCCCATCAAGATATGGCGTCTGAAAGTACTTCATCTCAAATGCTGAGAGCTCATCAGTCAGTGTCTTTCCTGCATTATCCTGAACAGGCACCAGATCCTCTGGGTTAGACTTCAGTTTCTTCGTTGGGCTAGCATCCTCCAGAAACAGTGAGTCATCACTTTCTTCCATAACAGATGAAAGAACAGATGATATTTCTGGAGTCTTTGAACCTTGTTCTCCCCAGCCAAAGTCAGAACAATCAAAAGAATTGCTTCCCTGATCAGAGCTGAAATACAGCGGGACAGCATCGGATGGAGTAGAGGATTTCAGCGCAACATCCCCATTGGCCGGGAAGGTGGACATATACCCAAAGTTATTAGTTGGCGGCTTTTCATCCAGAAAACCCATAGCATTGTAGTAGTCCTGATTTGGGTCATTCACAAAATTGATATTCTGGTTCAGATTAGGCTGAATGGCATTCATGTTTGTCTTGGGTAGCATTTTCTGAGGATTTGCCTTGACAGAACGCTTTGCAGAAGATCGTGGGGTTTCTTCAGGAAAATTAACCTTGGCTTTCTTGCCACGAATTCTACGTGCCTCGGCATCATAAGCCCTTGCAGCTTCTTCCGCAGTGTTGAAAGTTCCAAGCCAAACCCGGACCCCTTTTCTTGGGTCTCGGATCTCTGCAGCCCACTTACCCCATGGGCGCTGGCGAATTCCCCTGTACTGGTTCTTCCTCTTTCTCTTTGCAGATTTCTCAGCCTGCCCATTGAACTCCACTGATTTCACAGTCGTAGAGCCTTCAATAACTGGAAGAAGAAATATATCAAAGACAAGGATAAAATACACTAAGAAAGTTCATTAATCTTCTTCGATGTCAATCACATGAAAAAATACACTCATGTATTGATCAAAAGGATTCAGAACATGTTTAGGTACACAGCCATAAGGATTCAAAGAGAAAAACCTTCACTCCATCACCTATGACCCCAAGAAAAAAATGAAAACAAACGCCTGGATCATAGTTATACCAGATGCGATCTGATACAATATGAAAAAGAACAAAAGCTTAATATTATCGCATATGACAAAGATATTGAAAAGAAGAAACTTTGATCTCTTCATATTGCTACAAGCATGATCATCACATGACATAAAAAGCAGAATAACTTGACAGGACATAAGGTATAACAAGCAAATAGTAACTTTTACAAATAAAAATAAAAATAATCGAAGGAAAAAAAATGAAGATACCATCTCCTATGGATCAATAGAAATATATTCCGGACTTGACTCTGGAAATTCCAGTTCACTATGGATCCCAGCCTGATATTTGATTATTTGCAAAATCGACCATAAACCAAATATTAATCTCTTACTAGCTAGAGATAATGAACAAAAATTGAGAATTCCTACAAATATTATTTTAAGAGCAATGAAAATCTACAGTGACGATTCCTTACATTAAAATTCTATTTTCCCCCTCCCTAAAAATTAATAAACAAAAAGTAATTGATCAAAATCATACAAGATCACCAAGATCTTTCCCTACCCACCTAACAAATACCTCATCAAAAAAAAAAAAAAAATTATTAAAACAAACTTCTTTTCTAAAGCGATCAGCTTACACATATACTCAATATTACACATCTATTATTTTTTTAACAAGTGAAAAAAGCTGTTTGCTATAGAACAATAGCAAAACTAAATAGAAATTTTATACAAAACAAAATTTACTCAGAACATTCAGCCACTTTGGAAGCCACAAAATTTCATAAATTAAATCGGAAAATATTTATAAACAAAAAATAATTACTGTCTACCCCATGAGCAGAAAAATCAGCAACTCAATTTTCGTATGAAACAAAATAATCCAACAGATTGAATCACCAGAGTTCCAGAACCTATGACATAAAATATTCAAAAATAGCATTTCTAACATCAATCCACCCCTTAAACCAAAAACCCAATACATGCATCACAGAATCAATCAATACACACAACAAACACACAAATGATGTAAATGCTCAAGAAACAACGACGATAAGAGGTAAGGCTTACTACGAGCAGAAGAGGGCTTTCCAGCAGAGAAAGCAGAGGGCTTGGCCTCAACCATGTCATCATCTTCGTCCACATCAGACTCGTCCTTGAATTCCTGGAAATCAGCCTCGAAGTCGTCGTCTAAGTCAACGATTTCGGGCCTGAGTGGCTTCGAGAACCGCTTTCCCGAACTGGATTTTTTGAGATCGGGCCAGAGGTAGTCGGCGGTGAGCCGCGACCGAGTCGGCGCTATGAAATCGGATATTATAGCACCTCCACACATTTTTGCTGTTTCTCAGAGGACTTTGCAGCTGGAAAAGGTGTCGGAAAATCGGAAAGCTGGGATTTTTCAGACTAAAATGTATACGACTGGTTTTGTGTTTTGGAAACGAAACGAGTTAAAAGAGAAATGCTTTTGTTATTTTCTGCTGAGTAAAATGAGGGTTTATATATACTTTCTTGCGTGCAAAGGGCCGGGGCGGATTCTTTTACTTTCTTGCCCTTATTTAACACGGAGATTTACATATGCCGCCGCTGCTTTTGTTCTCGAACGCCCTTCTGTGATGCTTTTAAATTTACCGCTGCTCATTTAGAGCATCTCCAACCGATATGTCAAAAGTGCCACATAGACATTTAACAGCTAGAAATAATATATCATCTTACTCCAACGGAATTGTCAAAACTGATGTGGAATGAAGGCTGAAGGTTCAGCTGTTATTTTTGACATCCCAAAAGCAAGATGTCAAATGAATATTTTATTATTTTTTAAAGATAGCTCGTTGTTATTTTCATTTATTATTTTTTTATTCTTTATCTTAAATGATTTGACAGTTACATTAATTATTTATTTGACATATCGGGTGGAGTGTAAAACTGTGTAAATGTCAAATTGCCACATCAACCATCAAATTTAAATTTGATGTTTGGTATTTGACATATCCCTTGGAGCAGTGGCGGACCTGTGCAGGCGCAAGGAGGCGCGCCCGCACCTCCGGTCGCTGGAAATCGCCATTACAGGTGCTGGAGTTGCACCTCTGCTTCAGACCAGCCATGCACATGAGGTGTTCGACGAAATGCACAAGTGACTGGGCCATTGTCAATGGCCAAGGTGAGACCCAATTCATCCGCCTCTGATTCTCTATCGTTTGATTTAGCCCTTATTTTCTCTCTATATGCTTGCGTTTGCTTGATGGGTTTGTGTTTGAGTAATGGTTTTGGTGTTTGTTTTTGGGTTTCATGCAGAAGAACAACAGCAATGGCGTCGAGAACAAGAACAAGAACAACGACGGGGGTGAGAAGAAGAAGGACGGCCCCAGCTCCTCTAAGATTGTCAAATGGGTCAAATCTTCTCAAGGTAAAATCATTCAACCCCAGTTTATCAGATTTCCTTCAAATTTTGTCTTCAGAGATTCTGATCTCTCTTTACTCCTCATGAAATTGTCTTCTTTTTATTTTCTCTATTTTGGTGCATGGAAAAAGTAATATTCCAAAGGAATTTGATTCAGATTATGCTCTGTTTCTACTTTATGGGTTGAATCTCATCCACAATTAGATTCAATTATTATTATTATTTTGTTTCATTTCTGGGATGGTTTTTAAGTTGTGTGTATTATATATGCAACACAGGCGCTGAGTCGGTGAAATCTGCGGGCCAAGCGAACAAACTGACGGTGGTTGGAAAAGGGGACCCCACAAAGCTGAGAGACGAGCTGGCCACCAAGACCAAGAATAAGGTCGACCTCGTCTCTCCCCAGCCCCAAAAGGACAACAAAGTCAACAAAGACGACGCAACAATTGTAGGTTAATTGTATGTTATTTTTTTAATTAATTATGAATAACATTAGTATTGATTAAATGATAAGGATGTTTCTTTTTTTTCTTTTTCTTTTTAAATTTTTTTTATTGAGCTCTTAGCTTTTAAAAATTGCACCTCCGCTGAAAAATTCCTCGGTCCGCCGCTGCTGGTTGGTCTACTCTGACTGGCTGCCTTGTTGCTGCTCCAAAAACTACGCTCTCAGTATTAAAATTCCTGAGTCCGCCGCTGCCTTGGAGATGCTCTTAGTGGCCTATGAAAATACAAAGTAGAAAGCAAAAGTAGCAGACGAATTTGTGGGATTTATATGAGGATGAATTTATTTTTTTACTTCCCGATTCTTTACCAAAACTATATTCTATTCTATTAACGTTCTCACTCAAATGAAAGGTAAATTTGAACTTAAATAAGAAATCTATGAAAGGGAGTTCATAAAAAAAAATAGAAAGTTGCGTGCGTGTTCGTATTGCATTGGACATTTCTAGACATATACAACTTTGTGTGCACCGATATATTCTTTTGGACTTTTGGAGGCAAATATATCAAATCTACTTTTATTTCTGATTACAACATGTGCCGATAAATGCTCCTAATTATGTACATAAAGAAAATGACATTTTTGTTAACGTTAGTCGTTCATACGCATAGAACATCCTATAATTTGTCTCCTTTATTAATCGGTGTGAGTGTGTATTAACTCTTGAGAAAGTACTAATGATGTTTACTCATTGCATAATGCAGAGATAGAGATAGGTTGGAACTTCGCAATGGCATTTCTCGCCTTTTGGAATTTTCCATTGGCAAATTTGGCTTCGGAGGTCATTAAAAACCTCAGATATTGTGGAATGTGGAAGAAAATCTGACGAATTTTGTATAAAAAAGAATTTCATCATTATTTACACCTATCAAAGCTTTTTGGTAGAAATTACTTGACAATATCTCATTTGCTGCAAATAAATAAAAATTAAATGAGACTACTAAGAGTGAGATTTTATCACAAAATGTTTTGACAATATTACTAGCGGAATCACTCATTATACATTGTATTTTATCTTGTCAAATTTCTAGTGTGAAACTTTTACATTCTTCAACAAATACGATGACTCTCGATTGTATATTCGGATTTAATTAGAGAAAAATTACTTTAATAACCTCCTATATTATTATTTTAAAAAGGTGGATTTTCAAGATTAGGTAGCAAAAATTTGGAGGATTTATTACCTTTCGTGGGCCTTATTTATTGAGATAGCTAGCTAGAGATCTTACCTAACTTTCATAAGTCCACCTCTATGAGGAGGACTGGTTTACCTTTACCCTATTTTGACTGGAAAATCATTTAAATGTTTGAACCACACCTAACTTTTCTTGAATTCACGAGTTTCACAAAATCAAGTCCATTTTTAATTCCTGACCATTTCATTTCGAACAGTGACGTCGTTTTGACATCTTAATTAGGGAGAGATTATAACCCATGCATGCATAAGCCACTGATTTATGAGATGATTTTCTTAACTCAACCTTTGCACGTACGTGTTGGTCAAAAACAGAAGAAACAGTGTCAACAACACATGTTCTGTGCCCGGGAATCAGAAACGTGCACATCTTGCAAAGTGGTTTGGTCACATAGAAACCCTTTTTTGACTTGTAAACAAAATTACCTTCATTATAAGTTGCGATGTGTGTTATTTCTTTACCCCACTTTAAACGCGTCGTTACAAACTTTTCTTGTGCTAGCCATATCATCTAGAATTTCCGTACGTGTCGGCGACTTTCAGTCATTAATTAATGTACGTAGCGTGTATTGTGAAATTTATATCGAGTAACGACGGATAAACAACTAACCTCTCAATATTAGTCATGTGTTCAACTTATATATCACGGTATATACCTTGAATCATGCTTATGTTCTTCATTAATTTCTCCAATCATGATATATTGGGTAGCTCCGGGTCATGTTTACAAGTTTGTAAGCAGAATTTCTCTCTCAATTCTAAACCATCGACTTGTCGTAACGTAATTGGTGGATCAATCTGTTGTTGACCAGTTACCCACCAATGTAAAAAAAACTCAGAAGAGCAACATGGCAATCATCAAATTCATACACTGAAGAGGGGTGAAATGGGAAGGGGAAAAAACTACTGTTTTACCGCGGTAATCTGAAAAGTTACTGTACACGGTGAGGTCTCTCAAGAAAATATATAATTAAGCAACGGAGGAAAGGAGGTTCATGCATCAGAATATGGTGCAATTAAACGAGGAATGAAAAAGATAGGAAAAAACTAAGCGACAAATCTTGAAAAGTTAAAATAAAGAAATGAGTGGGACCCTTATTCGGTGTGGGGACTCTCTTTTTTTCGTTCAAATGGGAAATATCACAGTGATAGATATTTGATCGACATTTTTGTGAGGCTCATTCTGTATTGTATTTATGCGGAAGTTTCATTCTTCGTGAATGATATAAGATGAACCTTTTTCTATGACTTGGTTGACGTGCGGTTGTATTATTTTGCCATGTTATAAGCATTCTTTCTTTTTTTTTGGTAATAGCAAGTGAGCAACCACTCCGAGTCGTAGACCTGAACGGATTTGACTCTCCCCAGGGGGTGTTTTTCTTTCATTCTTCGTGAATGATATAAGATGAACCTTTTTCTATGACTTGGTTGACGTGCGGTTGTATTATTTTGCCATGTTATAAGCATTCTTTCATTTCATGGTCCAACTTGCTTGGGCACCTTCTACCAAGTGGGTATGTGGAATTCACACTTCTACACGATTTTGCAATGGATGTTAGCCAGGATATCCACTAGACCAAACCCCTTGGGTATAAGCATTCTTTCATTTCATGGTCCAACTTGCTTGGGCACCTTCTACCAAGTGGGTATGTGGAATTCACACTTCTACACGATTTTGCAATGGATGCTGTAATTAGGATTAAGTTTGATTAATTATGTGATTCATGCACAAATTTTTAACCTTATAATAGGAAGTTAAACTCTTTTTTTTCTTTGGGTCCGGTAATTGGGTTTTGTTTTGTTGAAAAATTATGGGATAATATACTAGATATAAAGGGACAAAAAACTGGCTGCAAAGTGCCATTGTAATTACAAAGAAATTTAACCTTAATATTAAGACAATTTAGTGCGTCTTCGCTAACGATCACGCAGCCGAAAAAATTATAATATAAATATCCCAACTAAGATTGCAAATCAAAAAGAGATAAGACTTAGAAAAACCAAACCTAAACAATACAAATAAGAACTCTCACAAAGAAGAGGTGAAAAATTCTCACAAATGAAATATGAAAACTACATTAATAAAAAACCTTTGAAAAGAGTTTTTGCGATTTATTATAAAAATAAAGAAACTAAATCAGTCGAATTGCAACTATGTTGTAACAAAGCCAATTCACTGTCCGTAAACACCAAAAGATAATAGATATGCACCAATTGACTATCATCTTCAACAAATATAGCAGATACATGGAAAAAGATGGATGAGATAATTTGGTTTAAAGTAGTTTAAACTTTAAAATATGTTCTTCAAATGATCTTATCTTATCCACACCTTTTCATGTAAATCAAGTTTTGTCACATGCTATCACTATTTTCATTTGTTTGTTGCTAAACAAAACGCATTTGCAGCTTTTTGTCCCATTTTGTCCCCCATTCCTCATCATCAAGTGAGCCTATAAATTTAGTTTAGTTGCCGACTTAAGTGTCCTCTCCAACGTTGATTATAATTTATAATGCAAACAAATGAAGATATTATTCTGATGATTTTATATTAACATATACTAATACTTGTGGGAAGGATCCCAGAAGGTTCAGGAGGGTGATGAGGTGGAAGAGGAGCTTGTGCTCTGCACTCTTTCATAATTCACTTATTGACATTTGGTTCTATAAATATTCTTTGGGATATTTAATAATAATTACCAGGTAGAACCATTAGTACGTACTACCATATTATATACAAATAATCTTAAATCAAGTGCCCAAGTGCCCAAGTGCCCAAGTGGAGGATCTTCTTTGGTCCTCCTCATCGACAAAACCTAGCTGTCTTCTTTTTTTCCTTAATCTCACGTCTCTATGTGTGGAGTAAGTATATTGTGAAGAATAGTCATCAAATGATAAATTCCCAAAAAAAATTTGCATGTAGTTGTTAACATGTCATCTATACGGATCCTAGATTGGTCGAAGTTGTCCATATAGCTATATTTTTTATATTTATCGATATTATCGCAATATTTTGGCCAAATGTTGTTAAAGCTTGTGAGAAATTATCAACGTCGATATTTTCCAATAATATTGAGGATATTATCAATAATTATACAATATGTGTATATATATGTTTCAAAATATCCTAAACCTGAAAAAACGTTAATATCCTTGATATTTCATCGATATTATCGATATTTTAGACTTTGCTCATCTGTTATTTCTCAACTCTCTCTTGAGCTGTCATCCAATTTCATTGTAGAGCCTTAGTACGTACTACCATATTATATACAAATAATCTTAAATCAAGTGCCCAAGTGGCCAAGTGGAGGATCTTCTTTGGTCCTCCTCATCGACAAAACCTAGCTGTCTTCTTTTTTTCCTTAATCTCTTTTGTTATGAGTTCATCGTCTCTATGTGTAGAGTAAGTGTATTGTGAAGAGTAGTCATCAAATGATAAATTCCCAAAAAAGTTTTGCATGTAGTTGTTAATATGTCATCTATATGGATCCGAGATTGGTCGAAGTTGTCCATATAGCCATATTTTCGATATTTATCGATATTATCGCAATATTTTGGCTAAATGTTGTTAAAGCTTGTGAGAAATTATCGACGTCGATATTTTCCAATAATATTGAGGATATTATCAATAATTATACAATATGTGTATATATATGTTTCAAAATATCCTAAACCTGAAAAAATGATAATATTCTTGATATTTCATTGATATTATCGATATTTTAGACTTTGCTCATCTGTTATTTCTCAACTCTCTCTTGAGCTGTCATCCAATTTCATTGTAGAGCCCAGTTGAAATAAACTGAAGGATTAGTTGGTGGATGTTTAGGGCTTTTAATTAGTTTAAATAAACTTAAAGGACGTACTAGGTTAGAAGAAATATAAAGAATTGCCACTATCAAAACCACAACCAAAACTAAAGCCCAAACCAATGCCGAAAACCAAAACCAAAGCTATGCATATTTTGTAGTAATTTAAAGTAACGACCTTGAACAAATGACAAAATTGAACACATAATGACATGATTAGTTTATTCCCAACTGGGAATAATCTTGTGTACATTTTTTTAATTAAATTCTTTAAATTGGTACCACTTGAAGACAAGTTGTCGACCAAGTTGAAATATTACATTGCATAATATATATATATAAAATAGTGAATTCAAGTCACTTGGCTTTACCCATAAAGACAAGAAGGAATTCAATGCATCTATCATGCATACAATTTCAAGACTAGGAGTGGCCACCAAATCATCCATGTCACGCTAATTTGGGAAATTCTCTCTCCTCTCTCTAAAGTAATAATTATTCTTTTAGAATTGAGGCAAAAACAAAAAACAAAAAACATTTTAAATTATTTACTTAAATTTATATCAATAGGTAGAGAAATCAATATAGAGTCGGTAAGTCATTTACTGGATAAATATTTATATGCTCTGTACGCATTTAGACACGAGGAAGGCTTATCCATTTTTGATATCTTGTTTTTGTGGCTAGTAAAGCTTCCAACTTTGTAACAACCATGAACAATATTAGGTCTCACATCCAAAAATCCTGCAATTTAAAGTTGGTTTCCCCGGAATAAATTCCTATATCGCATTCTTTCGATGATGCTGTGAAATTAGGGTTTATGGCAAAGATGTAATCTTAGTGTACGGATGGTGCTGTGAAATTATAGGTATATGGACCACTTTGAATCTTCATCACACTCACACACATGCAAGAGGTTTTGCAGTCGAAGTAAGCAACATGCATGTCATTTTCTTCAACCGATTAGGGTACTTTCATTTGGCGTTTCGCAAGGTGATGTCAAATTTTAGAGGTGGAGAAAACGATGCCACTCGCAATATATTTTGTCATCTCCCAAGGGACTAAACGTTAGGTGTGACCTCAGATGATCAAGTGGCCTGCATCTTTCACAGCGCGGCGGATTCAATCATGCTTTTGATTTTTCATCGTAATCTATGTCTTTTAAATTTTCTCATTCAACAGTCAAAGATTAAGTAACAAGTCAAATTGGGCACACTTGAATTGAAACCCTTTTATTTTTATTTTATTACTTGGCTTGGCCATTGGCCTGCTCAAATATTAGCAACTCATACCAAATGTTTTGCCCATTTTCCATTAAGGGGCTTTGGGTGGGTGGGTGGCTTTAGGTGGGCTTGGAGCAGTTTTTATAAGGCAAAACATCGCCCCAACTCTACCCAGGCCTTTTCGTTGTCCAAAGTCAGTTGGGCCACAAGATTACTCTTTTTCTTTTTCGTAGTGGTAATTATCTCCATTTAGTTAAAATAGGTCATAAAGTTCAAATCTTTAAGTTAAAATATTACAACCACAAACACTTAATGTGTTCATAACTTTTCCTGTCCCCATTAGGTGTAACCATGTAAAGGGCTTTGCGGAATTGGCGGGGAAATTGCGATCCCAAACAAAGTCTCATTGGTCCATCCAACAACAAAACAAGAAATTGAGAAAAAGGAAGAAAAACGTGAAATGACTAGCTTCCACAAAACCTAGCTAGTGTAGTGAGACATGTGAACGTGACCACAGATGCATGCCCCACGTTACACAGGGCCATATCTGGCAGGAAGGAAAATGCCTCTGCAATTTATGGACTACGCTATCCTTGAATTCTAATAATGGTAGACGCTTCGGAAAGCATTGGTCCCTCCAATATGTAAGGTCAGCTTGCAACTTGCCCTTGCAAAGTTGCACCTTGTGAATCAAACTTGATAGCATGGATTGGCCAAGACAATGCCTCTAATTTCTACATCAGGGTTGCCTGCCTAGGGTGGTTTCTTAGAACAAGCCAAGACGTGTGCTGCCTGCCCTGTCTCTCCAAATGCGATAGCCAAGATTGAGATCAAGTAGATCTGCACAATCGAATTAGTTAAACGGTGAATGTCTCGGATAATTGTACGAATACACATCTCTCAAAAATACGCGAAATTGTGATTTAGAAAAGAATGGGGGCATCATGATTTTATGAGCGAAACAGCTAAACACCGTGTTATAATGGTCCATAGATTTAAAGAACTTTTCTATTAAGTGACACTTTCCAGCTAATAAGTTGCCTTTGTCAAACGGATTAATTACCTTCCGCATAAACTTGTACGCAGACAGATCCTGATGTTATTGCTTGTTGTTTTATAGCTAAAAGCATCGGGTAGGACGTCAAATTGTCAATGGATTGAGATTGAGAGGTAATAAAGTTTAAACCAAATCAAGAGGAAACTTAAAAAGGGGATTCCAAAAAGCCTTCATTATTTAGATGGGATGAGGTCAAATTGATCATGCAAAAAGCCTAGGCAACTGGTTCGTTGGATCTTCTCATTAGGCATGCACATATTTCAAACACAACTACACAATTTATGGGTTTTTTAATCATTTTATATCGAGAAAGTTGTTTGTCTGATTTGCAGATTTAGTCCAGAAAACGCCATGTCGTTGCTTCAAGTACCCCACATGATTCTTCTTGTCTTAATGATTGTCATTAGCTCAATGTTTACGTGCACAAAGAAACTTGGACAACAAAATCATATTGCAGGAAACAAAATCATATGCTTCACAAATCTTACTTATAAACTAATCAGAACGATTTAGAGATCAACAAATATACATTAAAGACTACAAAACCAAAACCGTCCTTTTTTTTTTTGTTTTTTTCATTCTACAAACGTTTTTGCTTCTTAATCTTACAACAAACCAACCAAACCCCACCAGTTTTCTGGAGTCGAAAACCTTGAAAGTACACATTCTCATTATACATACATATTTATATATAGAGAGAGAGATAAGTTATGAACTTTTGTAACAAGGTCTAAGGAGCGCAAAATTCCTAAAACCCGAAACCCGAAACCGAAACCCTAAACACACACACATACAAACATCTAGAGAGGTTGTTGCATTGTCACAACCAAGGGGCTAGTCACAGTGTGCTTCCCATCAGACCAAACTATAGAACCACTCTTCACACTAGTGCTACCAGGCGATAGCTTCGCTGCCAAGGCTTGCACCCTCACAAGAAAACTTAACTTCTGCCCCACCCTCCTAAACGCAAGCTTCTCCGGTTCCACCGTCACCGTCATCCCTGCCGCTGGCTTAATCGTCACCTGATAAACCGAATTTGGCGTACCCACATTCGTCACGGTCCGAATAAAATGAGTAGACATCTTATGCTTTCCATACTGCTGAAACACCACAGACAAGGAGGGGTAATTTAAGTTCCCAGAATGCCCTGCCCTCTTAGCCCCATTGCAATTGGCAAACTTCCTAGTCACCACCTGGATGTTCTTAGTGGTATAATTGGAATTGCACAAGAAATCCACGTAATCGTAAGAGCGAATGTCATAGACCAACCCCGGGTCCATTGCCTTTTGCGGGTGGACATGACCCGCCCCAAAGTCCATAACGCTCGAAGTGTTGCCGCTGGACTCGTCCAGCATGGTCTCGCCCCGATTGTCCACCGTGTATGCAGTAGTCATCAGGGCGGATCTAATGGCGGCCGGGCTCCAATCTGGATGCGCCGCTTTCAACAACGCCGCCAAGCCGGACACGTGTGGGCAAGCAATTGATGTTCCCGAGAGGATATTGAACTCCGTCCAGCATGGTCTCGCCCCGATTGTCCACCGTGTATGCAGTAGTCATCAGGGCGGATCTAATGGCGGCCGGGCTCCAATCTGGATGCGCCGCTTTCAACAGCGCCGCCAAGCCGGACACGTGTGGGCAAGCCATTGATGTTCCCGAGAGGATATTGAACTCCGTGTTTCTCTTATCCGAAGCCACGCCCGAGGGCCCGACTTTATCGGGCCAAGCCGCCAATATATTCAAGCCGGGCGCGATAACATCCGGCTTCAATATCTCCGGAGACTCCGGGTTTGGCCCGCGGGCTGAAAACGACGCCACGACCGGCGCGGGCCGAACTCGGATCCGAGTCCCCTTGAACACAATTGTCGCTGTAGGCGGGGACTTAGACTTGGATGTGGCGATGTATCTCCTGATTTCGTCGCCCGTGGAGGCAGCGACCGCGGTGGCGGGTAACACGTGGCAGTCAGCTACTAGTCCTTCGCCGTCGAAAACCCCGTTCGCGAGTATCATACCAACGCCTCCGGCTTTCTTCACCACGTCACCTTTCGCGGCTCTTGAATTAATTCCTCTGTCGCAGACGACGATTTTCCCTTTTACTTGACTCAGAGAACCTTCTAGACACAGAGACGAGGAGTAGCTATCGCCGCCTACGCCGCCCGCGTAAACCAGCGGGTACATCCGACCCGGAGCGAGACCCGGCCCGGAATAGATGCTCATGCCCGGTATTGTTCTGCCGTCCCCGAGCTTAACATCGGCCGGGAAGTCCCTGTCGATGGTTCCCGCGCCGACGGTTGTCACCCACGGTGCCACATTGGTGACGGTGAGCCCTCCGGGACCGCCGTTGCCGGCGGAGGCCGAGACGAACACGCCGGCGTCGGAGGCTCCGTAAGCGCCGATGGCAATGGCGTCGAGGTAGTAGGGGACGACGACGCCACCGACGCTGAGGGAAACGACGTCGCAGCCGTCGGCGACGGCGGCGTCGAACGCGGCGAGGATATCGGAGTCGTAGCAGCCGGCGCTCCAGCAGACCTTGTAGGCGGCAAGCCGGGCCTTGGGAGCCATTCCGGCGGCAACGCCCTTGGCGTAGCCGAGAGTGGAAGCCGGGAAAACGTACCTCCCGGCAGCGATGGAGGCAGTGTGGGTCCCGTGGCCGTCGGAGTCGCGGGGGGAGCGGTACTCTGTGGTCTCGTTCATTTTTCCGTTGGTGGACTCGAAGCCGGCGGAGAAGAAGCGAGCGCCGATAAGCTTGCGGTTGCAGATGGTGACGGGGAAGTCTTTGCCGGCGACACACTGGCCCTTCCACTTGGAGGGGGTGGGGCCCAGGTCTCGGTCGTGAAATGACTTGCGTTCAGGCCAGATGCCGGTGTCGATGACGCCGATGACAAGGTCCGACCCGAAATCAGACTCCCTAAGGAGGGTACCGGCGGCGTCGGTGGAGCGGAGGCCGAGGAACTCGGGGGAGCGAGTGGTGTGGAGTTGGCGGACTTGCTCGGGGATAATGGCGGTGACGTGGTCAAGGGACTGAAGTGTCTGGGCTTGGGATGGGGAAAGCTTGGCAGAGAAGCCATGGAAGACAGTAGAGTAAGTGTGGAGAACAGTGGGGGCAGTGGCTTTATCCGAAGAAAGAGAGGAGAGAGAGGAAGAGTACCAGTCTTGGTGGGTTGGGAAAATGGAGGGTTTAGAGCTTGGCTGGACTTGGACTATGAAGGTCCTTGCAGCATTATTAACATTATTATTATTATTATCAGAAGAAGAAGAAGAAGAAGAAGAAGAGGGTAAGTTGGAGAAGGAGAGTGAGATTATGAGGAGATAGAGAAGAGAGAGAGCCATTGGAGAGAGTGAGAGTGAGCTTGAGCTTGAGCTGCTTCTTCTTCTTCTTATTATTGCTTATGGATGAAACACATTAATGAGTTTAATAATAAAAAGTGATAAAAGAAGAGAGTGAGATTGGGTGGTGTGGTCACACTCTATTTGGTACTTGATTTCATCACTTGGGTTTGGGTTTAGGTTTCTTTCTCTAAGATTCAAAATTCAATTGAAAATTGAATGCATTGCGTAAGTAGCATTGCAGACAGTGAGGAGAGAGAGAGAGAGAGAGAGAGAGGGTACAATTACAATCAATGTTTGGGGGTGGGTTTAGTAACTTTATGCTAACAAAATAGTGGGAATGTTTTGTCTTTATTCTTGTGTTCTTGGATGTGATGTTTGAGTGGTTTTTGGGTTACACCTTTCACTCCTTTCAAAAAAACTCAAGGAGGAAATTTAAGAGAATCTTAAGCACCATGTATTTTTTTCTTGTTGTTGGTTAGTGACTGTGCGGATCAGTCTGCTTAATTAAGCTATATTTGACTGTAAAAAACAGAAATTCATAAAAAAGCCATACAACAGTGACCTGTTTAACCAGAGAATATTTTCTGAAAAACATAAGTCACATATTGCAGATTTATATATAAACAATTACAGTCTTTTTTCTTTAGGGCTCGTTTGACAGTAATTCTAAATAGACCAATAATCATTTATATGGAGAATCATTTCTCCATATAACCACTTTAAAATGGTTTGATTTTATGGAGAAGCATCTCTCATGTGCTTCTTCCCAAAATTGCTTATAATCACTTAAAATGATTATATAGAGAAGCACTTGGGAGATGTTTCTCCCCATAAGAGCAATTCCACCCATGGTGTCATGGCTAATAGCAAGTAAGGGCAAATACTATTCGGGTGAATAGTTATTGCCCTATCCTTTTTTATTTTACTTTTCAATCCATTGCCATGGCAAGTAAAGGCAAGTACTCTTCACATGAGATATGAGGAGAGCAATTTGTATGGAGTTTTGGTGTGGAAAGTGAAGAACATGACTATGTATTTATAGAAAGAAGAAAAAAAATCTGAATTTATTGGTTTTTTTTTCCTTTTTTAAATTTAAATTGGTTGTTGCCGTCAATATGAGATCAGTAAACCCAGGCAACAGATCAGGCAATTCTTGATTTTGGGTTGGCCTGTGTAAATGGGGCCCATTTTTGCCCGAGCTGCCTTTTATTGTAGGGGCCTTGTTCCAAGCCTGGACTTCCTTTTGCCTTGACAAATGAGCACCGGTGGAAATACTCTAAGTAATTCTGACCCTCCCAGAATCACTCCTAAATGAGCGCTTATTAGTTAGAACGAGTGTTTACATGAGGATAGGAAAACCAGAAATCAAACATGCCAACAAGACAAAATGGAATCTTCAATCTATGAATGAGACACCACCCAATTTTAAATTAAATTAAATATCATCAACTAAAAATATGGCGCACACATATATATAATAGAATGTAATTTGCAAAGAACTACATTGCATACTAAAAGTAGAGGTCTCTGCAAATGGTCTCAAAAGCTTATTCACTTCTCATTTCTTTCTTTGATGTTACTTCTAATATTAGTATACTATATATATATGGAATTGGATCCGTGACAATGATCGGGTCTGGATTCTGGACGGTAGAAAAAGGCCTAGGCTAGCTGCCGCTTACGTGTGACTTTGTATGGGAAGTTGGGATGTTTTTTTATATAAATATATTATATATTTGTAAAAGCCTTTTTCGGTTTACAGAATAAATATTTATTCCGTATTTAGAAATGTAAAATAATAAAAAATTGAGTGTTCAGTGGGGGAACCAGTTTGTGTGGTCATAATCGAACACGAGATTCAATTCTGAAATGCAATATTATTATTATTAATATATAAAAAGCTGAATGGACAGACGTGTTTATGTCTTCTATGCCATGTCACACGAGGGTTTCTTCTTCTATGCCATGTCAGAGACATGATTTCTTCTTCCATGCCATGTCATGGCATACGATGGTTAATTTGTAAAGATATTTAGTCATATACCTATTCTTAGCATTAATACTATAGATAAACTCAACACCATTTAATTTCTATAAACAAACCAAAAAAAAAAAAAAATTCAAAAAATGACAGCTGGCCCTATTGAATTTAATTTTGATTATTAAATTACTTTGATGCCCTATTGAGGGCTCGTTTGGGAGTGCTTCTTCCCAAAGCGCTTATGCCAGTAGCGCTTATGACATAAGCACTTCTACAAAGAAGCAATTTGTTGTTTGGATGTCACATTTAAAAGTGTTTTTACACTACATAAAAGCGCTTTTGATATTTTGTTGAGTGTTTGGGTGACATAGTAAAAGCGCTTTTAAAAGTGCTTTAAAAAAATTTAGAGAATCCCAAAATATTATAATAAACATAGGAAATAAAAATTCACAGGATCCCAACAAATCCTAGTAATATTGCTAAAATGATGTGCATCTCAATAAACTTATCAGTAACACTTGCACTTTCATTGGCAACCCACGCACCTTCCCCTTCTTTCATGACCTTCTTTATTACCTTAGCATCACCAGTAACATCAATAACAGGCTTGAAAGACACCAACTCGAGATCAATGTTTAGCACAGAACTTGGAAGGACAGAATGAAATCCATTGTTTGCATCCCTCCCCTCCACACCAAAGGCATCTGCAATTATTTATCAACTTTCATCGTCAGACGATTCAATTTTTTTTCTTTTTGCCAGACATAGCAGTTTGATAACAAGGATCCAAAGACATACACTGAGGTTGAACAATTAATCTGACCTTATCTCCTCTTTTCATTGTCTTGATTGCTTTTGGCAATGCTGAACAAAAATGGCATGAAACAGACACAAACCCCTCGTTATTCAATTATTACAAATTGGTATAAATCACAAAGGAATTGCCTTTCCCCATTAAAATCACATCAGATTAAAACAAAAAAAAGAAAATACCATCTTTCTTCACATAGAATTCAATTCCTTCTTCTGGTGTCTCTGCAACAATAGTACCATCAACCAACGCCACCCGATACTTGACTGCATTAACAACAAAATTCCAATAAAAACATCAAAATTGAGGTTGACAGAACTGTGATTACATGCTAACACAGAATAATAACCAATAAAGAATTCAAATTGAGAGGCTCGTCTCTGTCTCTGGTCGACTCGGACTTCGTCCCATCAAGCAGAGTTCCAACGTAGTGCACTAAATTCAAACTTCCACACTCAATTTCTCTAAAATTATAATATAATTTTCGAGGGTATTGTTTTGATTTTAATAGGAGAGAAAAAGAGAGAGAGAAAAAAAGAAGAAAGGAAGGGTATTTTGGCATTTAAAAATTTTTGTTATGTTGTAAATGGGCTTTTGGTGTGTTTTTAAAGTCCGTTTCATATAAGGTTTTTTTTTTATTATTATTATTTTTTTTTTATAAATAATTTGGGCTCCTATATTGGGTATAATAGTGAATCTCCCTAATTTGTATCACCAATTGCAGCTAATTAATCACCATTTCAACTATACACCAACTTCCTTTCCCCCAAATCCTCTCTAATTGGGTTACTGCATGACTTGATGCAGAAATTTGTACATAACTACTTACCCTTAGCCTTTGTTCATTTGGATAAAGGTATTTGAAAGAAATTATTTGAATTTGACGACAAAGCTAAATTTGTAAAATAAAACTAAAAAACGTTAGATTGTATGTACTTTAAAAGAGTCTACTGAATTTGAAATAACTATATGCAATGAGTCGTTTGAAATCCATTTGTTTTCTTCATTTCTTTCTTCTTTTTCAAAATGCTTTAAGATACTTTGGGGGTAATATTTTTCGTGACAAAAAAGTTCACCTAATTAAAAGTTAATTTTGTTTTTGTCCCGTTTACCTAATTAAAGTTGCAAGAGACAAATAATGTCGTTGTGTTATTCCTGTGACCAACTGCTCCAATTATGGCAAGGCAAAGGGGTCTCTGCAATGAAAGACTAGTTGCTGCTGTGATTTACTGCTCAGGGTGTGAGCATGCATGTGCATGAATAATATGGATACTGCGCCTATATATATAATGCCAACAATTTTAAAAGAGGACCTAGGCAATCAGCCAAAAACCTAACTAATTAAGATTTGGATGTTAGATCATGTTTTTTTGGGTTCGTTTTAGCCCTCAAACTGCACTCCGAACTTATAGAGTTATGCCGTGGTGATGTCTCAAAGCTCAAACACATATTGTAGGGTTAGTGCTGTTGATGCAAACATAGTTTTTGTTCAGAGTTGCACTTGCACAAAATGATCCGTAATATCGTTAGGACGAGTGAAATTGTTGTTTTTTTTTCTTTTGATACAAGCGATATTGGAGAGAGGGGAAATTAAACTTAGGACTTAGTGCCTTGTAAAATACTCAAATGCACACTTCTTAGGTATAACTAACACAAATAATGGAATTTATGTGACAAATACTATATTCTTTGATGCACCGTCCTCGTTGAACTTATAGATCATAGTCATGGAATAAAAAGAGGACATCAGATATGAAATGTACCATTTTAACTAAATAACGTTTATTTTGCAAAATATATTCTCTTCGTTAATGTCATTCTTATCATTCCAGCAGGAGATGAGAATAATTGACTCCCATTATGGTGTTTGGAAATCTCATTGTATAATTTTAATCTCCATTCGCACCTCTAATTACATATACTGAGAAAGTTTTTTCAGTATTACCTGCTAATTACATATACCAATATATATGTAAATAGAAATCATTGATGAAAAGCTGGGTGCTCATTGGTGAACTTTACCGTAACTATATATAGGTTAATTAGCACAGTGTTATAAGTAAAATATCAAACACACATAATAGAAGGTAAAGTTTTACATAATTAAAGTTAATTTTTTTTGTCCTGTTTACCTAATTAAAGTTGAAAGAGATTAATTTTGCAGTTTTTTGTTCTTGTCACTAACAACATATACAAATTATTATTCACTAACAAAGGTGTCCCTGCAAGACTTTGCTGTGCTTTAATATTTATATGTCGGGGCTCTCAGATATCAGGAGTCTTGTGCGGTGGCATCATTTGTACACCCTTTGAGCCGCCGCTGGTAATAACATATACGAATTATTGTTGATAATGTGACCTGCTTTAGTTATGGCCAAGGAAGGAGTCTCTGCAACGCTTTGCTGTGCTTTAATAATGCCAACAATCTTATCGACGTAGGCAATAAGCCAAAAACCTAGCTTTGTATGCACTGCCCGTGACGAATGCGCCATAATTTGTTGCACAATTAATTTTCTTAATTACGATTTGGA